AACCCCCCCCCCCCCCCCCCCGTTTTCCATGTTATCTTTCTAATATGTTCCTTTGTGTGAATTGCCCATATGTTATAATTCTCAAACAATTTGTTCTAGAGAATTTGTTCTATTTGTGACAGCATTTTGTGTTGTCTGTTGCATCTGTTGACAGTTTTGTCCAATATGTTCCTGCGTGAGGAGCTCCAGGAAGGTAAAAAAAAAATAAAAATAGCAGCTGTATAGTGCTTTCAGTCTTTTGCTTACCCCTCAGTACCTACATGTAAATCTCTGTGCCTTTTACAATTTCTCTCTCTCTTATATGTAGTTGGGGAGGAGATTGAGATGACTCCTCTGATCTTCAGTAAAGGTCTTGCTGATGCAGGTTGCTGGGGCTCAAAGTTCTACGGCCGTGTCACAACAGATGAAGCTCAGGTTGGCCTGGGATGTGAGCACAAAACCAGACGGCTGAAAGTGATCTACGGATTAGATCCTGTGTTTGAGTCAGGCAGCTCATGTTTTATGAAAGTGCGAAGCCCTATTGCATTTGAGAGCAGAGAGGAGACTGTCTTGGCTGAAAGGAATCTTCAAATCACAAAACAGGTGACAGATGGTTCAAGTTCTTTAAATGTCCGTTCTTTAAATTTATTACATTTCTCAAAGATAAGTTTTATCGTTTATCCCTCACAATTTGATAGGACTGTAGAATTCAGAACATGGCTAGAGAGTACTTCAAGATCTTTGCTACAGAGACAAGAGTGATAGAGAGTTTTGGTGCAGCACTGGAGTAAGTGAGATTTTTTCACCTACTTAGCTCTGTGCAAAGCACAAGATTTTATTGTAGTTTTATATCAAGGTCAAAGACCATACGAGAATCCTAGCTGATCCTGTTGTCACTGTGACTGTGTATATTTCCAGGGTAATCCCTCTATACTTCATGTACTTGCCAGCGAGCAGTATTCCTTCTGCAACAGTGGAGGCAGAGCTTAAGGGTGTCTATTTGCGGTATTGTGGAATGGATAGCACCGGGTCACTGGTATTTAATGAGAAGTTAGAAGTGGCACAAAAGTCTTCTTGTCTCCAGCACTGGATCTACCAGTGGACCAATGGAAATGTGCTGTTCTCCAGACTTGAGGGTAAATAAAAAAAATATATATCCAAATATATTATCCAAGTTCAAACGATGACTCTGATTCTATTGTGTTTCTTTCATGTTGCAGGAGTTGATACAACACTGACAAATATCGGAATAGCAGTCAGGTCAAAGGGGTGGGTACCTGTTAGTACTTTTAAAACAATTCATTCAGGCTTTTTGATGGTGATATTCATTCTACTGCATCTAATACTTACACATTGGAATTACACTGATTTCAAAAGTTTGGGGTCAGTGCCATTTTTTAAAAAGAAAATATAATATTTAACATAAATGCTGTTCTTTTGAATGTTCTATTTATTAAAGAATCCTGAAAAATGTATGTATCACAGTTTCCAACAATTGTCAACTGTAATAATAATATGAAATGTTTCTTAAACACCTAGTCAGCTCATTAGAATGATTTCTGAAGGATCATGTGACACTGAAGACTGGAGTAATGATGCTGAAAATTCAGCGGTGCCATCACAAGAATAGATTAAATTTTGAAATATATTTTAAAAGTCAAAATGTTTAAAATCTTAATATTATTTCACAGTATTGCTGTTTTTATGGTAATCTTGCCTTGGTGAGCATACACTCTAAAAAATTGCTGGGCTGTTTCAACCCAACTTTGGGTCAAATATGGATTAACCCAACTTTTGGGTTAAAAATGTAATTTAAAAATGTAACCCAACGGCTGGGTTAGTCCATATTTGATCCAAAGTTGGGTCGAAGCAACCCAGCATTTTTTAGAGTGTAAAGAGACCTTTTTCACAAGAGGTCAAACCCAAACTGAATGGTATTGTATGTTAATTAATTGGTTTAAACATGAAAGAATATTTAAAGTGCTGTAATATTATGCTGTAAATTCAAGATGCATTCATAATGTTTTTTTCTGATGTAGGTATCAGGGGTTCCCTTGTGAGGCTAATCTGAAGGTTTTCGAGCAGTTTCAGATCCAGCATCAATGTAATTACTTCTGTGGTCTCTTAAACCTCAAACCTCTCAAAGCCCCAGAAACACTTCAGACTTCAACCAGACCCAAGGGCTCAAGCAGCCCACTACTACAACGAAAAACAGCACCCAGCTCCTCCAGTCCCCAGACCCCACGCAAGGCCACAAAGAGCCCCAAAGTATCCCGCAAGCTTAACCCACAGACGTCAACCTAACTCAAAATAAAGTAGGCCATATACATAGGGAAAACGAAGGAAAAAGAGAGGTTCGTCTGTTATTGAATCGAAACATTGATCACTGATCTGCAGTTAAGATGCAGCTGCACTTACTACCCGAATGTAAGTAAAAACAACTTTTGATAAATGCACCATTTTAAATGAAATATGTAAATCCAGAATCATTACCTAATCTTCTGTTGCAGTGCTCTTTACAGAATCCGTTCTGTAATCCTCAGAGGTTTTTGAAAGTGCATTGTAAAAATGTGTGTGATAATGTCAAGTGGAGCTGTAGCACTACAAACTTTATATTACCTCTTTGTTAATTTCTAAAGGAAGTACGGTGCTGTTGGATGATTAGCTGTTTGTAAATAGTAATTAAAAATAAGAATTTTGTTCATTATAAATGAGTTTTATTGTGTGAGAGCATATTATTTCCAGTTGGTTGTGGATTAACATGCATAAAGCATATCTGGAAAGTGTAATTTAAATTATAATATTGAATTTTTTGAGAAACACTGCAAGCTATTGAACACTGTCCATTAAAATGTTGCATATTCTCAAATTGTTTGTTCCACAGAAGACATTTATATGGGTTTTGCTCAACAAGAGGTGGAGAAAAATGAGAGACTATTTATGGCTGACCTGAGCTTGATAAGAGAGGCATAATGGAAACACAGAAACTGATGATAACAGTATTTAAATAATGACATGACTTAAATGTTGAGTTGGCATTTGGAATTTTAATTACATCTGTTGTGTCTTCCAATCTTATCTCAGATATCTCACATTGCATTACTGGGTGAACTAACATGCTGGTGATCAGTCTATAAATTTGCCTTTGGTTTAGATGAAAGGAAAAAGGAAGCCATCCAAAGAGTACATAGTAAGTCTTACTTAAAAGGAAAATGTGCTTATTTAATGTCAACTGTTATGTCTCATGAATGAACACTAGTGCATTTTGACTTTAGGTCACAGAATGTAATTAAGACAATGAAATAATCACACCAGATGAATTGAATAAATCTGCTCTATTTCACCTTGTTTATGAGACACGCTTGTTTACAGCTATTATTATTATTATTTTAGCTCACCGTGACAGTCATAAGGCACATCACAATAGGCTCTAGAACTGACTTTAATGACCTAAACCCTCTGGTGTTGTTCAGTCATTTTAGATTTTTAGGACTTTTTTTTTTTACATAACCGGAAAGATATGAAACATATATATGATACAAAATATAAATATTATAAATGATAAATATTATATTAATTATAAATATTTTTTTCCACCAGTTGGCGTTCAATGGATTTGAAGTACTTTTGCTTCGTTTTTCACACAAGTACTGCATTAACTGAAAAATAGAATAAAATATGTTTATTTATTTATTTATACATTTTATATATAAATGGTCCATAATTTAGATAATGTGTTACCTCAAAATACATACATATGGGTTGTTGACATGACGTCGCATTTTCACTGTCCCACAAGATAAAAATAATATAATTAATATTGTTGTTATTTAAAATGCAGTAAATCATTAAATATTTCTTTGTCCTACATGGACCTGTTGTTATAAAAGCTGTGGTGTCATTCGATTTTTTTTAAATCTTGAGCCAAATCTCAAAATTGTCCTATGGTGTGACAACATTGTGACTATGGTGTGAACTTTTATAAATTAAAAAGAAAATCATAAAAATTTTAATAAATACCTCTGGCATAATTGTACAAGTGTCTATTTTAGTAAATAACAATACTTTTTTTTCATCCATATATTTCTGAAAGCATAGGAACTTGATTGATTTTGTCTCTGAAAACCATGTCCTGATGTTATCCTGAATCATGATACACCATATCATGATTTTAAATCGGCAAATTCCAGAGAAAACTTTAATTAGTTGAAGGACCCCATTCATGGTCGTGTTACTGAAGCCCCTTGTGAAGCACATGACATGTGCACATGGTCCATTTTTCTCTCAGAATTGTTCAAATATTTAACTTTTTTGGAACCACTACAAAAGTGTTACGTTTGTTGTCCTGCTGTCCTAAATTATATATTTTTAATTAAAAACTGTATGTTAAACTACATAATCATGGAAAATTATGCAAATGTGTCTTGCTAACCACTAATGACAGGTTAGCTAGGAATAGCAAGGTCATTAATTGACACAAAAGGCTGAAACTTGAAATATATTCTAAATTATGAACCATTTAGAAATTTGAATCTGTGACTCCGTTATTAATTTCGTTAAAGTGGTTGCCAGTACGACTAAAGATTATTTACAAGATACTCATACTTGTTTTTAAGGCCTTGCACAATCTAGCTCCTGTATATTTGTCCAGTATGGTGGCAATCTACACCCCCTCTAGACCCTTGAGATCAGAAAATCAACATCTGCTTTGCGCTACTAGGACAAAAATTCCACCTAAATTGTGGAATGACCTCCCGCAATCTATTTGATCTGCCAAATCCTTACCCATGTTCAAAGCTATGTTAAAACAACATCTTTTAAATACAAATGGGGAGCTTTTTTAAATGGGTTAATGTTTATGTGTGTTTATGTGATGAGGGTGTGCGTATATATACTGTATATACAGTATATATATATATATATGTTTTTATTTTTAGCTTGTGATTGTGAAGCACTTTGGGCAACGTGAGTTGTATTAAATTGTGCTATATAAATAAATAAACAACAACAAAAAAATCGGATAATGTCCACCGGTGTGTCGCCTGTACTGTCACACCACAGGACAAAGATGTCACACCAGAGGACAAGGTCTCTTTAAAAAGCATTTAAAATAATTAAATACGATTAGTTTAATTCCATTTTATTCTTTTTTTGATCCTTTTCAGTGTTCTTAAATGCAATAATTACATTAATTAAACTATTTTCTGATGTTTTTGCAGATAACTTGTATTGTTATAAAGTGTCATGAAAATAAGTATGAAATGTGATCTTTTTTTTTTTTTTGAAACAGAAAGAATTGAGGGAGAGCAATTAGTGGAAAAGAGAGGACATCGAAATAGAAAGATAGATCTGGATCCACCAGAAGGGAAGAGCTCCTAAGAGAGTGATGCTGAGTAAATCTGCAAAAATGTCAACAATTCTGTGTTTTTCTGTCAATATGGGGTGCTGTGTGTACATTAATGAGGAAAAAAAATTAACTTAAATGATTTTAGCAAATGGCTGCAATATAACAAAGAGTGAAAAATTTAAGGGGATCTGAATACTTTCCGTACCCACTGTAAATCATATTTAGCAGTGCCGCACATGCAGAGGGGGGCTAGAAGAGTTTCAGTAACATACTGATTGACTAAGAGACTGAATTTTGTTTAAAAAACATGTTGATATTGTTTGTATTAAAATTAAACTTTCTTTCTCCTTTGACATGTTCAAAATTAAATAGAAATACTTTAATAACTATAATTTCTGTCCTTTAGTGTGCCATAATGTCCTATGGTGTGACACACATAAAAGAACCACAGATGTTTTATTATCTCAAAATATAAAAAAAAAATAACAGTTGAGTATTTCAATCAAGGGAGATATAATCATCACTCATCTTAAAATGCTATAATTTTCAGCAGTTTTGAACGGATGACAGCAAAGTTTGTCTTGTTGTCAAAGTTGGTCTTGAAATTGTCTAACAAGTCATGGGGAAAAATTATGTTAATTATAATTTCATATGAAATAAACAAGAGCACTATATGAAAATAAGTGTCTAACAATTAAGATAAAAAAAAAACAATGAAAGAATTGATGAAGTTAGTGACCCTTTATATTTTCTGAAAGATCAGACTTCACACTACATAAATATATGCATTTTTTCTTCAAAAAAGCATTTTTACTGCCTATTTGTCAACAGTTGTACGTTAAAAAGTTAACGTACAGCCCTGATATATATATATATATATCAGGGCTGTACATTAATTTTTTTTGCACATAGCACTGGTGCTACAGAGGTTGAAAGTTTTGTAGCACAGGCAAAACGTTGTAGCACAAGTATAAGACATGTTATCATGTCTGAAAACAAACACAAGTAATGGAGTTCATCACTTAAACAGGCACTGATGTTCCATAAAGAGCACAAAAAATACAAACCATCACAAAAATTGTTTTTAGACAAAGTTTTCTTAATTTACTAAAAATGGAAGAGTGCAGAACACCGCTTACACCTTAACAAAATTTAGGCAGACATTTAGGCCAAAGTGAGCAAAGATAAAAAATCTTTGTCATTATTTTATCTTTGTTATTAGAAAATAAGAACAAAGATATACATAAAACAAACAGTGCTTTATTTTCCAGGTACAGTATTTAGCAGTAGCATTCAAGAAACTGAATGAACAAATATTAAAATAAAACACTATATACACTCTCTATATTAATTATACTATTTTTAAAGCAACTGACTTCTTGAATTCTGTCATCTGTCTTTCAATTCTGTCATAGTGTTTCATTTTTATACCATCATTTACTCAAGTTGTTTTAAACCTGAATTAGTTATTAAGTTATTTTTGAAAAATGTGGGTAACCAAGCAGTTGCTGGTCCACAGTGACTTACATGGTATTTTTTTCCTACTGTAAAAGTCAGTGTGGACCAGCTACTGTTTGGTTACCCACACTCTTCAAAATATCTTATTTTGTGTTCAGCACAAGAAAGAAATTAATACAGGTTTGGGACAAAATGTGAGTGAGTAAATAATGACAGAAATTTAATTTTTTTTGGGTGAACTATCCCTTTAATGACAGTCGGCAGCATGTTTAGTAGCTACTGTCCCTTTAAGAGCTGCACGCGTTTCTCTCTCAACTGTTTACTTTCATTTTAGACATAACCAACTGTGTTTATATGTAAACCTCGTGTGTTTTGACAGTATTAGACGCGAAATCAATCAGACACGTAAGACAACTTATTCCAATAATCAGGCGCTTTTTGACAGGTTCTCAGTGTGAGCGCGCTTCATGAATACGCGCTCAGAAAAGGCGCATGCAGAACAGCACGTGAATTAAATGTTTAACTGTTATTGCTTTGATAAAGCAGATGGAAATTATGTAGTTTTGTGATTGCGCATGAGTGCAGTGTCCCATGAGAGTAACTCTACCGCTGAGCTAACACTGATGTGAATGCATGTGGCGTTGTACAGTATATTGAGCTGGAGGAACCAGAACTGCAGCTGATAAGAGTGTGCGCTGTAGCACGATACAACGATATTTCTTCAAAAGCAGATCGTGGAGACATTTTAATCGTCCACGATCATAAATCGATCAAAATCGTCATATCGCACACCCCTAACTACCAAGTATAATCAATCTCACTCACACAAACAAGCACAACGAAATCACTTCACACATTTCACACACTCACTAGATGAGCCCCAGATACAGATCCCCTGTAAAGACCTTGTCTCAGACGACCACCGGGACAAAACCACAGGAACCAGATGAGTCCTCTGCACAATGTGACTTTGCTGCAGCCTGAAATTGAACTGCTGGTTTTGTCTGGTCAGAGGAGAACTGCCCCACATTTATTAAGGTGTCTGCAGAAAGTCAAATGCTTTGACAAAACATTCAGGCATCTCCAGAAGAAATGCATGCTCATACTAATATATATATATATATATATACAGGTGCATCTCAATAAATTAGAATGTCGTG